CGTGGCAGAAAAACCCACAGAATTATCCTGCCCCAAATGCTACCACTACTGAGAATCACTGACAGAGAATAAATGAACAAAGCCAAGGGTTAATAATGACTTTAAATAGAAACCCAATAGCAAAATTCAGAAAATCACCAATACCCAGCCAGAAAGGAAATCGAACATAAAAATGAATCAAATTCTCATGCTGAAGCAAGAGGTCTAGGCTCCCTTCTCAAAATGGCAGTAAAAGTAAATGTGGAGTTTGACACAATTTCAAACTCAACATTTCTCTGCCACCTCTTCCCCAAGTTTTCCATTTCTCTCTCGTCAGGGCCTCGGGGCTCTATTTGTAAAACTTTACCATCTATAGTTGTTACCTCGGATTTTACGTAAACAAGTCATCAAGTCCCCCAGTTCCCATTTTGCCACCCCTGTTTCAGGTCCACTTTACCACCTATATGGATTGAGAGCTATCTGTGAAGTTCACTCTTCTTTCCATCTATGACAGCGCTGCCCCATTAATCACGCTACAAATCACACTTTATTCCTGTTAGCACCTTCTTACATAACTCCAATTCCTAACAGAATAACATGAAGATACCCCAGCTTAACATTCAAAGCCCTTAACCAACTGGCTCCTTATTTCTTTCCCAACACAATTATTCCAACCAGTCTCTTCAGTTTTCCTCCAAACTACCAAGTTAATTCCTTTATCTATACTTTTCCCCATACCGTTTTTTTTCTTACCTAAAATAATTTTCTCTCTCCTTTTTCCCTGCCATTCAGAATCGTTATCTCCCAACATGTATAAATGTTCATCAAATACAATGAATTCACGTGTAATTTGACCTTGCTTCTACAGAGCCCTAAATAATTCTCTAATTTCAAATACATTTATCTAGTTTCAGTCCTATTGCTAGGACTAGAAATTTTTGTTTTTAGGACTAGAAATTTTTTAAACAACTACCTACTTGAAATCACAGAACTGTTTGTTGAAGAAATCATCTAATACAGCACCTTTATTTTCATAGTAAGAAACATTCTAAAGGACACATAATTAATTCTTCAGTGGAAAGACAAGAACCAGAATTCAGGCCACAATTTATCATCTAATGTTGTCTGCACTTGAGAAGGGCTTGTTAAATTAACTCCAAGGTAAAGAAATCATTTTGTAAGCTTGTATCCAGCAACACTACACTTCAATTTAAAAGAAAGTCCATGCCTTATCAAAATAGGTTGCCTATTAGACTGTGTTTTAAAAAGACCAAGAAGACAATAAATGAGGTTCTTGGATAATAATATGAAAATTACTTTGAACAACCTCAAATTTGAAATTCCATTTATCTACTTAGTCTATAAAATATTCATATAATATATAAAATAACTCACTGGGATTACAAAAAATCTTTTTAAAAGTAAGATCAGGGTAATGCATAATTACCTTAGAGTATGAAGCAATTTCAAATTATACTAGTAAATCAGAAGTCGAGATAAAGACAACAGCAATGTTATTAAAAATACCTTCAGGCTCGGCACCTATAGCTCAACCGGCTAAGCGCCAGCCACATACACCTAAGGTGGCAGGTTCGAATCCCCAGCCTGGACCCGCCAAACAACAATGACGGCTACAACCAAAAAATAGCCAGGCGTTGTGGCGGGCGCCTGTGGTCCCAGCTACTTGGGAGGCTGAGGCAGGAGACTCGCTTG